TGACCTGCCACTATTGCCTTCTTCTGAGGCTGCAAAGGTGTGACTTAACCAGTCACCCAGTGGGTTTGCACAGCTGTTCTGAGATTCCCTGTTTATTCCTGCATAGCAGAATGGTGTTGAACTGGGTGACTGAAAAGAATCCTTGAGTTGGAAGAGACCCATTCATTTCCCCTAAGGCTGAGAGAGTGTGATCTGCCCAAGGGGTTTGCCATTTCCATCCCTTGAGGCTGAGAGTATGTGGCCTGTCCAGGGCCACATACATAGGATCATAGAGTTGGAAGGGTTGGTTGATTAGAGGAGGGGGAGGGATTTATAGTTTTATAAATTCCCTGTGGTTTGTAGTTTTACAAAGATCTTCAGTCTTCCCCTCCCAGCAGAAACTACAGATCCTCAGATTCCATAAGGTGATGGCGTTTTCAAGGTCATCGAACTTCATTATTTCCTGGGATTTCTAGTTTTACAATGCATTTTGGAAAATAAGCATTTTGGATAATAAGTTAAATTAGAAAGACTTCAGAGGGCATGCAGTCTGACCCCCTACCATTGCCTTCCCCTGAAGCTGAGAAAGTGTGACCACACACTGGAGACTAGGGTTTAAATTCCTGCTCAGCCATAGAAACCCACTGGGTGAGCCCGGAAAAGTCACATACTCTTAGCCTCAGAGGATGGCAGTAGTAAAACTTCTCTGAAGAAACTTGCCAAGAAAACCCCTTACCTTAGGCTAAGTCTCAGAAAGTACTTGAAGGCACACAGTGAAAACAACAAAGAGATATAAAACAAACAAATTGTAGCTTTAACATTTAAAAACCTTTCTTTAAATGCAACAGCAAAAAATAAATAAATCAATAAATAAAAATAAAACACAAAAAAAAACAACCCAGAATTTCCCTCTTGGCAAGTGACCCCTCCCCCCCACACACATTTGCTCACCTCATCCCTTTATTTTGTAAAACAAATGAGATCAGCATAAAGAATTTAGCAGGGGGTTTAGAAGTTTTACAACTTCCTTCTGAATGTGAACAGGAGGAGAGCAAAGCAGCAGTCACTGGAGAAGTGAACAGAGATGTATGGTACAATAAAAAACTTTATTAGAATCAGATTCAACAGCTTAGAAAACACACAAATGCATAGATTTGACCACTGAGGCACAAAAGGGGAGGACACAAAACAAAGAACTAATTATCTTTTTAAAATTAGGATTTTTCAAATGAGGAATTAAAAAAGGAAATCTCTTCATCATCGAGACGGGGGGAAAAAGGCTGCTGCAACAACACTGCTTCTCACATTCCATATTCCTATTATATGCATTGTGCATCTTTTCTTTCATCTTTCACCTCTGAGCATGTCAGCATCTGAACATTCTTTCAGCTGGAGTTATGTCATTAGACATAGCACTACTTGTCCATGTTCTCTGCTGTTCCCCACTTGTTGGTTAAGTGCCTGGGATCTCATCTTCCAGACTATCTCTTGCTTCATTTTGCATTGTCTCAGGGGTTTCAAGGTTAAAGGTGTTAACGTGTGTTTTACCAGTTCCTCATTTTGTACTGTACTAAGAAGAGAGCTAAAGTGTTATTTCCTTAGTCTCTGAGAGATCCTCCAACATTGTAACCTCCCACTACTGTCACTGCTCAGTAGCTGTTTAACACATTTAGGGGCTATACAGGGCCTAAGCAGATGGCGCAAAGCGCCGTTTTCGAGACCAGGAAGGGGAGGGGCAGCCTCACGCTGGGCGCCCCAACCTTTCCTGAAAATGTCATTAGAGCGGCTGGCCCTCCACACAGCCAGCGCTCCGATGACACACTTCCGCTGCAGCGTCTGCACGCGCTGCAGCGGAAGAGGCGCCGAAGGTGCGCCAGAGGCCTTTTGCGGTGCACCTTCAGCGTCTTGCGGAAGGAGCACTATTTTAGCGCTCCTTCCTGGGCCTGGGATGTGGCGCATTGGGGCTGAGGAGTGCGGATACCTCGGCCCCAATCCGCAGCTTCCCGGGGTGTCCCCGTGCTGCCCATCTGCTTCCCCCCACAGACGGTCAAAAAGAGGTGCTTTCAGGCTGACCTGAAGGTGTGGCATTTAGACAATGCATGCCTAAAACTCAGCAGAAAAGCGCCCTCTAGACACCATATGCCAGAAAAAGCACTCCAAAAAGGAGCCACTTTGTTCTGCTTCTCTTGCAAAGATGCTCACCTGCACACGTGTATGAATGAAGCAAGACTGGTGCGCCAGAAAAAGGGCACCAGAGATCTAAAACAGCCGTATAAATGCACTGCCGTACATGCGGTGGAAATTGAGTCAGAGGCTAAGCAGACGGCCAATTGGGCCATTTTGGGGGCAGGGAAGGGGAAGGGCAGCCGCACGATCGGCACCCCAACCCCTTCCCCAGGTTGTCCTCGGAGCAGCCAGCCCTCCACACAGCCGGCGCTCCGAGGAGGACCTCCTGCTGCAGCGTCCACACACGCTGCAGCTGAAGAATTGCCGAAGGTGCGCCGCAACCTTTTGCGGCGCACCTTTGGCGACTTGTGAAAGGAGCGCCAATTTAGTGCTCCTTTCCAGGGGTGGCAAAGGTGCGCCGCAGTGCTGAGGTGTGGGGATACCTCGGCCTCACGGCGCAGCTTCCCGGGGCGGCCCACGCCCACCCGTCTGCTTCTCCCCTCAGTGATCCAGAACATGCGCCCTATGATGCAGGCTTTAATTTAAGCACCCTATGCTTCCAGGTGTGGATGCATCACTGCAGGTGCACTTTAATATTAACTGTTCTCTATTATGACAATAAATGCATTCTGTCGCATGTATACTTGCTGTGAGAATGCACAGTAGTTTGCATGAAAGAGGCGGTTGTTCTATCTCCCTTTGTGGCATCCTTGGGGCTGGCAGTGTGGTTGGCAGGGCTTCAATACAGCCTAAGAAAAGCTGCATTGACTCCCCCCCCCCCCAGTGTGGTTGCTCCGTCCCCATTTAGGGCATCCTCAGGGAAGGTGGTGCGGTTGCTGCAGCTTAAGAGAAAAAGCAGCTTCAGATCACTGTTTCCTGCCCATCTATAGAGGGATGCAGATGGGCGACCCTGAGCCACCTTGGGAAGCGGAGGATTGGCGCCGAGGCTGCCCCATGCCTCAGCCCCAATCCTCCCTCTTGCTGGCCTCGAAAGGAGTGCAAAATGCTGCTCCTTTCAGAGCCGGCAAATAGGGCACCTTAAAAGCTGCCGCTGTGTGGTTCTTCTGTGCGCCTTCCTGCACAGTGTGTCAAGATGCTGTGCCGGGAGGATGTTCTGATGCTGCGCACCACGCGTAATGGCGCATCATGTCAGGACGTCCTTGGGGAGGGGTTGGGGCAGCTGGTGGGTGGCGTGCAGCTGCCCCTCCCCATCCTTGCCTCGAGGACGGTGCTAAGTTTGGCTCCTTGGCAAAAATCTCTCTGATTTGGGAGACTTTATCCATAGCATTGCTACTATCTGCACAATCTCTTATATGGTTCCACCACCACAGAAGTGTATTGCCAATGTGGGATACTTTTGATACTGAATAATAAAAGTTTCCTTTTGGAACCTTCAAACATCTTTTAATAGTGATGGGACTGTGGCCTGTAGACCTCGTGAAGCCACCTACTTCTTTTTTTTCATTTCCAAAAGTCCACCTGGAGACCCCACCACCACCAAAGTTAACAAAACTCCTCTCACTCCAAATTTTTTAAAAATCCAACCAACTGGGGGGCAATTTTCATCCCAAAACTTCCCCAATGCCCCCAAAGTGCTTGAAAGTGTGTCACTTTACCATCTCCATCCCCCAGAACTCCTCAAATCCCACCCTCCAATACAACAAAATAAACCTCTGGCTGAAAATAGGCTGAAAATGATGGTGGGAAGTGATGCAATGTTAAGTCTAATGTGCCCAGATGCACCACTGTAGCCTCCCAAATGAGATCTGTTTTGCTTGCATCCACAGCCAGTGTGACATAGGAGATTATCACACTGCCTTTCCTCCCAGACTCAGTGTGGGTTTAAACTTTTGAAAACTTTTTTAAAACTTGTGTTATCACACACCTCCATGCCCAGTCCAGAGGCATCGCATACCCAATCTTGGCATCTCGTACCCAATCCATACTTTTCTGGCACTTTTTGATTTTGATTTTGAGTTTCCTGTTCTTTGCAAAATATAGGAAAAGTACAGATTGGGTATGGGATGCCAAGATTGGGTATACAATGTCTCTGGACTGGGCACGGAGGTGTGCAATAACACCCGCTTTTAAAATGTTTTCAAAAGTTTCAACTCGCACTGAGGCTGGGAGGAAAGGCAGGGTGATAATCTCTATAGTGGTTTCAGTATTGGACTAGGAGTCTGGAGACCAGCATTTGAATCCCGGCTCAGCCATGTAAACCCACTGGGTAACCCTGGACAAGTCATATTCTCTCAGCTTCAAAGGATGGCAATGACAAAACCCTTCTGAAGAAACCTGCCAAGAAAACCCCATGACAGGTTCACTTTAGGGGTGGCATAAGTCAGAAATGACCTGAAGGCACACAACAACAACAACAACAACAACAATCAGATTCCATAAAGCAAGAGGAATCTGTAAAGTTGCAATTCTATACTGATTTAACAGTGAATGATTCTTACTAAATTCCTTAGGACTTATGCATGAGTAGACATGTAAATGATTGCTTTGTGAGGCTCCTATGATTTTTTTTAAATTCTGCCTTCACCTTTCTGTCATTAACACTTTTGAACAATACAAACTAGTTATTTTTGGAGCTTGCTGTTTGTGACACTACCTTTGTATCTTTGCTGTTTGTATCTCTCAGCCAGAGATACTAGTGCACACATCCTAGCACTTCCTCAAAACCTCAATATCATTGTGTGTTGTGTGCTTTCAAGTAATTTCTGACCTATGGTGACCTAAGGCAAATCTATCATGGGGTTTTCTTAGCAAGATTTGTTCAGAGGGGGTTTACCATTACCATCTTCTGAAGCTGAGAGAGTGTGATGTGCCCATGGTCACCCAATGGGTTTTAATGGCAGAGCTGGGATTTGAACCCTGGTCCCCAGTGTCCTAGGCCAATGCTCAAACCACTATGCCATGCTGGCTCTGTGGTGCACACGTCCTAGCATTTTCCCCAAACCTTAGCATCATTTGTTACCATACAAATGTCATGATGAAAAATGAATTGCTGGGCAGAGGGCAACAAAGGCTTTACAATGAGATACATAACAAAGGGCTTTAAAACATAACTTTCCAAGCTATGTTGTCCTCCCTACAGAACTGATACAATGAAAGCGATTACATAGATTTGTTGTTGCTGTGTGCCTTCAAGTCATTTCCAATTTATGGTGATGCTAAGGCAACTCTATCACGAAATTTGCTCGACAACATTTGTTCAGATGTAATTATTCTGTAGGTGCAATTCTTTTGGATGAACAAAAAAAGTACTCCTATGCTGTTTATCAGGTATGGCATTTTTTGAATTTTTAAAATCAAAATTTTCTACATTCTTCATGTTAGAAGAATTTGCATGGAAAAAATTGATAAAAGATTTCTTTAAAAAATTGAGAAAGTGAAACTGACATATTATCTCATATTTAACCATTCCATCCCAAAGAGCCAGAGTGTGTTGTAATGGTTTGAGCATCGAACTACGACTCTGGAGACCAGGGTTCAAATCTCTGCTCAGCTATGGAAACCCACTGGATGACCTTGCGCACATCAAATTATCTCATACTAGAGAAAAGCAAGAACAAATCTCCTCTGAACAAATCTTGCCAAGTAAACCCCATGACAGGTTCATCTTAGGATCACCATAAGTCAGAAACAGCTTGAAGGCACACAACAACAATTTAATTCCCCTTACCGATTAATGTTTTGCCTCTTTTCTTCTGGCCTTGACAGTTTCATGCATTGTTGATTTACCTGCTGCAATGAAAAAAAAGACAGTGTCTGCTGATGCAAGTCTTACCATATATGCTGACTCTCTTCAATCAGGGCTGCAAAGCAAATGGGTGGTATTATCCTTCCCACCTGTCTTGTTCTGGCAACTGTGCAGTTGTGTTTTGAGTGACGTGATTAGATTTCCTAGGCAAACTATTGCAAAACTAAGAGAGCAAAACTATTGCAATCACTTTAGAGATAAGATTTTAGTACTTTCCATGTACCCAAACTCTTGTGGTGGAGTGTGTCAGTGTAATAAGGAAGCGTTGACAGCTATTTATGTCAGGTCCTTTTGAATTTGCAAACAGAACTTGACAAAACTAAAGCAAGTGTCAAGAGGTTGCTTTACACTTGGTTGCACTACATAATGTGATATGAAGACATTTCAGAAAAGTTTAATGCAACAGGGGGGGAAATTGTGTGCTTTGTTGGACAAAAAGCCAGATCATGTTAAGCAAGTATAACTGACAATGACACATGAGGATTTCCTCTTTTAATAGTGCACTTTAAATACCAAAAGCTGACAATGTTAAAGGTTGTTAGGCCTTTGCCAGAAAGTTAACAACTGGTTTAGTAAGGCAACTTTTGTACCAAATTCTACTGCAAAGTCCAAATTTAATTCTCCAGATAAATCAAGCTTCATATGTCCGGTGGTGTCATGGCAAATTTTTAAGGGGAAGTATTTCTTATTCTCATAGAAGTAAAAAGTTGCAGTCAGTAAAAAATGCAGATATACATGCGCACACAGCTCACAATAATAGGTTATTGCCAGGGAAATCAGTTTCTCTACAATTAAGCTGTGATTGAACAGGTAGGAAGTCTGAGAGGGCTGACAGATAACATAAGCATCCCTGCTAATCTAAAAGTTGCTGTGCTTTGTCCTGGTAGCTTGATTTGGGATTTAGTAACTTAACTCAATTCTATTCTCAGTTCATGGATTTCCAGGAAACTATGATTCCTTGCCTCTGTACTGGGGAACTGAAGAAGTATGTCCAAGACTGTAATATGGCACATGGGAATACCTATAGGGCATCACTTAACAGGATGTTAAAATATGACTGAGATAATGTATATGAAGTGCTCTGGACACATAAAACACTCTATACCAGAGAAGGTAATCATTTAGGGATCAGAGGGCCATTTTTGGCTCCTGCAATTATGGGTGGCCAGTGCTAAATGTAGCAGCACCCAGATGTAACATTTGGAATGAGAAGAAATCACCTCTGGTTATCAAAAAAAAAGTTTTGACTTTTTTGGTGTGTGCTATTTGGGGTGTTCTGCCAAACAAACTTAGGGGTAAAGTGCTGTTTCCAGACCCAGATACCTGGCCTCCTTGAATCAACATTCAACTGAAAATAGTATTTTGAAGCTATTTTTTCTTTAAATTTTTCTGGGGATTCAGGAGTGGTTCTAGAGGTCCTGAGACCTATAGTTATATAATTCCCACTCCTGTTCTCTATAAATGAGTCACTGAAATGTTATTACCATAAACAAACAGCTAAAATAGAAAGTAGGGATTTGTTTATTTTTATAGAGCCTCATAATAATAATAAGAAGAAGAAGAAGAAGAAGAAAAAGAAAAAGAAGAAGAACTTATTTATTTATACCCCGCCTTTTGCCATAGCAATCAAGGTGGCTTACATCTAAAATCAAGTACATAAAACTACCCCAATAATAAACAACAGGGTAATATAAATGAACACATTAACTCCCCATTAAAAATACATTAAATGCAAATCTCAGTTAAAACCTATAATTAAAACAATAAGCAAAAATTAAAACAATAGGCACTTGATCACAGATTTTATGTTCTGTTTCCATTGGTAGCAATAGATTCTTCAGAATGGTTTAAGAAATGGTTGATAATGTTAATGACAGGATTTTGCAAAATACTTGCCACAATACTATTCCATTGTTCTTAAAGATTATTATTTGTATGAGACACTGTTGTTGCTAATAACTGTGTACTTAGTCAAACTAAGAAAACAATGTGACAAAAGAGCTAGCAATGGATGAATGCTACAATTATTAGACATGCACACACAACCTAACCCAAAAAGCACTAGTTAAGCTTTTTGAGACTTCATCCTGTGGTTACCCTATTAACCCTTACCTTGAAACTGTCATAGAAAATATTGTTATGTTTGCATGCCATAACCTATCGAGTCATACATTTCAAGTAGCACATCTTGATGCATTCAAAGATATAGCCATGTTAGTCTGTAGAATCACTATGTAGAAAGATCTTGTAGCACCTAAAGTTGGCAGCATGAGCTTTTGTAGATTTCATTCTACTTCCTCAGATGTTTTTGGTGGAGTGGAAGCCAGGGACAGACATATATGTGCCCTTGGTATGTGAGAATGTCAATTCAAATTCAAAATCCTTTGTGTATGCCAATGAAATAGCATGGCACTGCTGCACATTCCAAAATGGCGCCCCATGCACACACGCATGCATGCACATGACATGGGTGTTGTGCGCATGCATGTGCGTGGGGGCAAGCGCATGCGTGTGCACAAATGCAAGTGTGCCCGACCAGCCCCGGCAAAAAAAGTTGCCAAACCCTGCTCTAGATCTTGATGCATGTTAACCAGCACTCATATAAAACATGTGCTGTATATGCATTTTCTAGTCACAGGAAACAGACACTTTGCACAGCCAAGTCACAGTTGTAATTTGATTATTTCAGATGGGGTAACCAAACAAAACCACACTCCAGATGATTTTGCAGTTCTTGCAGGGTGGAGAAATAGCCTGAACTGGTTAAGCAGGCAGACTAAGGTGCAGACAGACTCAGTTTTATCATTCTCAGCCTCCTCCCAATTGCAATGTTCTTCTCTTTCTCAGTATCAACCACTCCTGCTAAGGCTTCTCGTTAAAAAGTGATGTGAACTTAATGTCTAACAGCTAATGAAAGTCTACAGTGCCTGGAACATGGTGGCTAGAGAGGGCTAGAACTCCCCCAAGAATAGGTAAGGAGGGGCTGAGCCCCTCTCCCCTGAAGTGATCTGACAAAATTGGGCCAACAAGAATCCTGTGCAGTGGTGCTTCATCAGGAATTATCAGTTAGAAGTGTACTAAATGATCAAGTACTAAGAAATATTAAGACAGTTATTGTTGTGGAGCTCTCCCACATACAATAAAGTCTACAATAAAGTCTACCTGAATATACTACACATATTCACTTGGGAGTAAGTTACACTGAATTGATAATGGACATTTCTAAGTACACATTGTGCTTGTAAGAGTTGTCATATTTAAGGATGATTCAGTGGTAATGGATGGGACAAATAGTTTGCCCTTTTCCTGAAGGTATGGGCAAGGAGACAAAATAACAACCTGCCTGTCATTAGTGAACCTCATCCCCCCCCCCGCACACACACACACACACACACACCTTAATTTCTTGAAAAAAAATGTAAATTTTGTGTTTAAAATATTTTGCTCTGCTCTACAGGAGAAGATACTCCCATAACAGCTTAGACTAGATCAATAAAAACAACAGTCCTGCCCACAGTATTTTAGACTGACAGTCTAAAACATATGATACACACACACATATGTGGCAAAAAGTAAGCAGATTAAGACTCCAGATCCTAAAAGTATGCAATATCTACCAGGAACAATCCAAATGGAAACAGTGCAGAGAGGAGAGAAGCCAAACAAAGCTAGTCTCTCACTAGACCTATTGGAATGGCTGATGGAAGGCGATAGTTGTGGGACTGAGGAACCTAATAGAATGGTGGGGGCCTATTCACGCTACAGAATTATAGTGCTATCATTACACTTTAATGGTCATGGTTCTGTCCTAGAGTATTCTGGAATTCGCAGTTTAGAGAGAAGCATCTAGACTTCTCACCCAGTGTGTTCCAGTGTCTCCCCAGGAATCCATAGAGTGGAATATTAAAATGTAATAATAACACCACTCTGTAGTGTGGATGCGTCTCTGGTTTCTCTCTATATATTCAGTGGAGTGGTTCTGCTTCCCATCTTTTTCTCTTGTCTGTCCTCCTAGTCTGATGAAATGATTGCTGCCAAGTAACAATTAGGGGAAGAAGCTATCCCATGAAGCAAGCACCTCTCATATGAGCTCAAAATACAACTGGATGGGTCTTAACTAAAGGCAAGAACCAGCCAAAGTGAAGTACTTAAAAGCCAAGT